CGCAACAGTCAGTCCGACTAACTCGAAAACTGGTATGCAGTGTCTTGGTCCGAGGTGCCATGATTATCTATGAGGATATTCGCGTATTTTGAAAACACGGCCGTTCGAGCGACTGTCAGACAAGGTTAACCGGGTCCAATCGGAACGAAACTCGCTGGGCTGTTTGACTCCCGGCCCTAGAGGCCTGTGACAAATGTAAAATAAATTAAAGCTGCAAGCAGTGATGAAAAGGGCCCTCGCACCCATGCCGCCACCACCCGGCGCTTTTAGGAAAACAGAGCACGGTGGGCAGTGTGGAATGATAATAAATAAAGGAGGACTTTTTCAAAGGATTTGTATTTGCCACACTTCCTGCTACCAGCAGGTGGCGCTATCGCTATAACCAAATATGAGCATGGTCATGTGTTCAGGACAGGACTCTTATCAAACATGTGAAGTTTGGGGCAGATCGGACACTGTATGCCTGAGTTACTGCAGGCTGTCTGTGGTTGCCTAGCAACATCGGAACTGCAAGCAATATTGAACTATATGACACATTCATGCACAAATCCCCAAAAGGCTGAAATTGGGTGTACATTTGTCAGGCCGCCTAGGGCACACCCTTCGACGAAAACTCAAGATCTTCGCAATTTAACGTCGCAAAGGCCATAAGATTACACTCACCAAACTTGAAGAGGATCAGATCAAAACTGTAGGAGGAGTTTGTTAAAGTACAACATCAGGAAATTACGAAAAATGCACAAAATCTTAGGGCTATTTTTTGTAGGTATTGGGTCATTATGTATGTATGTACCAAATGTCATACCTGTACGTGAAACGTAGAGCCGGGGCAAAATGTGGGGGCAATAATTTAAAGAATTTGCCCCATCCAATTTGGAAAACCATATCACACGTAAATTTTCACCACTTCTGAAGTGTGTGCAAAGTTTCATGAGTTTTCGAGCATGTTTAGGCCCTCTAAAAAGGGGCCACCATCGGTGCCCGGGCCCTAATAAATAACCTGTCACCAGGGGGCGCCTTCGCGTTTTTCACATGCGTAACTTTTCGCACATTGGCGAGACACTCATACCACATGGTCAAGCTCCTCATTCTGAGCAACTTTGCCTCTAGGACCACCACTGTCAATCGTTAAATTTTGGAGATTATTCCAAAAACCAACTTTCACGAAAACATTTATAACAGTTAAAAAGCTTTAAAACTACTGTATTTCCTTAAAATTAAAAGTAAATTGTCTTTTGATCCAATCTATGATCTAATTGGTTACATGCTTGCTAATTTAAAGGGTAAGTCAACCCCTGGTCTGAGCCTGACTCCACCCACTGGCAATATTTGAAAATGCTGAAAAAGTAGGCAGACCCCAGCGGAGATAGAGGGGACGAAAATAGATGGTTAAACACTCTATCCTGATAGTTTTCAATACTCGCAATTCCAATTCCTGACTCCCTACAGTGGTTTTGACGACACAAGATGGTTTTTATACTGCCAAGGGTGAGCTGAAACCTGTGTATGTCACGAAGTGCGGAACATCCAATAGGAAAATTCAACTGCAGTAGCCACCGTTCAACCTGAAGAGGGCAGCACTAAGACGTTTTTACACTATATATTGTAGAAATAAAACACTTTATAAACAAATGTCAAAAAAGTTACTCGAATCAATGACTGGTATTAATAATAGTTTTAATAGTATTAATAATAATGGTATTAATAGATCCATTCTTACAGATCATTAACTAAAAAAAGTTGGTTTGGTGTTTAGTTACTCTTTAAAACAAAAAACCTTTATATGAATGTGAATGGTATATATAAAAAAGTATAAATACCTTTATATTTATATGAATGTGAATTGGGGCTTGAGCCCCAATAATGGCTGCATGCTTTGAGGTATATTTGAACACTAGTTTCTTTCATCATATTTCTGTTGCTGCTATTTTATAAAGTAAACCATGGTAGCTGGTGGCTTCCTGCATTGATAGTCACTGATTTTGGTAAATGTTTGTGAAAGGAGATTTTATGCACCTGTTGGTAATCGACGTAGCTGGAATAGCCAAACGGGGTTGTCCACATACTTGCGGCCACATAGTGTATATTCAATTATTCTTGCCGTGCTTCATCTGGAATGAAAAATATACACCGAGGACTGTTAATGTAGCGTTTTAAAAATGCAAACCTGCTTGCAGAGGAAAATTCTGCCTAAGCTGATCCATCACGTCACTGGCATCTGAGCCGCCCAAGTTCCTTACTAAAGAAGGTTTCCTGTACAGAAAGCACCGTTGCACATAAACCCTCACTTCCTCAGTGTGAAGCTTAGCAAAGAGCGATTAATCGAGAGCTTAGGGATGAATCCAACAGACTTTGGAAATGTTTTGCTCTCGTTCCTTTGCGCTCATTTTTGTGGAGGAGGCTTGACAAGCACATGAAATAGAGAGGAAGGGAAGACAAGAGCTTATTATAAACTGTTTTTCCCCTTAATATTTCTCCTCATTATCTTTCAGTTTATGACTGGCTTATGACCCCGTTTCCTAAACAGAAATCCAGAGAGTAAAACTGTTTATCAACACACTGACATAAAGAGAAAAATTGGAATTAAAGTCAGTTTATGTAATATATTTTCTTTTTCTATTCGTATAATTGCTTTCTTCAAAACCGAGTGGAATAAAACAACTTGCAAAGTCTGCGTGGGTAAATATTTTGTCACCAACGTTAATTCTCAATCATGCGAAGCCTTATAGAAATGATTGGATTTTATCATGAAAATTTGCCAAACAATGATCATTTTTAGCAACTTATAAGTAAAAACGTATTATGTATGGAAAGTATACAACCTGAATTCTTGACAATCCAAGTTAAGAAGTTGGAAATGGAATATTGCATTGTGGGATATATTAAATCTTGCAGACACTTGCAGCACATTCACTCTATGTGTTTCAAACCTTGGTGTTGGTAGTGTCTTGCGTGGTCAAGCTACTAAAACAAATCTTAAAAGTTTGGAGCTAAACATTTTAGCCCGTTACGAGCCAGCGTGTGTGTCAAATAGAAAACAAAAACAGAGGAGTCTTATAGGGGTAAGCCACTGTTTCGATGAGATCTAGCAGAGAAACGCTCTACTGTACCACCCATACTCCTTCATCTAAATCAGTGAACCATCTGCGAAGAATAAAAGCTTCGCCATTAACGGAGTCTCAACCATGGCAAGCACTTTTATCAGCGTCCAATAACAAGATATCAGAAACACATCTCTGCAGTCTTGAGAACAAAGAGCCCAAGAGCGGCGGATGAGTTAACACCATTTGTGCTAAACGTGTTTCTTAAAACAACTGATGGCTTCCATATTTGAGGTCCTTTGTGCTTCTTGATATCAGATTCTCTTCAAATGGGAATCAGGTTTGCTTTCCCTATTATAGTAGAATCACATGTTCAAATTTTATTTTAAAAACTGAGCCTGGATTCTCCTTAGGTTTAAAAGACGCTTAATATCATCGTTTTGACTGCTAATATCGTTCAGTAATATCATCGATTTGACTGCTCTGACTCTGAATGAGAACAAAACTTGAACTGATAATGATACATGTTTTCTTTAGACTTTGTTTCATAATTGACTCTTATTTTAAATTCACTGTTATTGAACTGAACTGAATCAACATTGAACCGACTTAAGAGGAGACTCTTGTCTTCTGTAGACCCGCTTAAGGCTGAATTAAACATTAATTCATAATTGATGAACTTGAACTGAATCATCATTGAATTGATCTATTCTGAATGACTCTTTTTAGAGCTGCTTTACAGCAGAATTTAAATTTGTCTCATATTTGATGCTTTTCATCATTGATTCTGTTATTTTTCCTGTTTATTACAGTGAAGCTGCTTTGTTTAAAGGTCACTGGACGCTCCACTTAATCTCATTGATGTCTAGTTGAAATAATTGAGGACGTTTTGGTACACTGTAAAACCTGATGAGTTAGTTCAACTCAAACCCTTTGAGGAAACCGATTGCCTTAAATCATTTAAGTTTATTAACTCAAACAATTTAAGCATAAAAAATATTTGATTTGTTTCCAAGTAACTCAATAACTTATTGTTAAGATAACTTGGGTAAATAAAGTTAATAGTACTAATTAGTTACTATAACTTGGGTAAATAAAGTTAATAGTACTAATTAGTTACTATAACTTAAATCTATGAGGTACACTGTAAACCCGAATAAGTTGGCAGAACTCAAATTACATTTAGTATAAACTTAGTTAGCTTTAAAAGCTAATCTGCTGACATAGTAAATGCTAACATATTAGAAACAGTATGTTATAAGCACTTACAAGCACAAAAATTCTTCTAAATTAGCACAACAAAACAAAACACTACTAAATCTCACACTTAACATTAATCGTACACAAAAAAACATTATATTGCACTTAATTTTAGCATTTAGCATTGTGCCATTGGCAAAGCATGCTGGGAAATAGATATCCCAGCCGTTTCAGTTAAACTTAAGTTCGTCTAAATTAAAACAAATAATTTCATAAAACTCAAAACAATGAAACAGTTCAGTTAACTTAAAATATATCAGTTCTGTGAACTTGAAAGAAAAAGAAAGTGCTAAATACTCATAAAAATTAATTTTACTGAACTAATTCATTGAATTTAAGTTTGTCCTACTCAAACCAATTAATTATTTTGACTGTTAGGGTTTACACTTTACAATAAGGTTCATTAGTTAACATTAGTTAATGTATTTACTAACATGAACTAACAATGAGCAAATAAATTTGTTACAGTATTTATTAATCTTTGTTAATGTTAGGCTTTTCATCATTGATTATTTTATTTTATTTAAAATTGTCCAAATTTCAATCTTAACCGTTCTATTTCATCAGAAACAATCTTAAAACACGGCTCTAAGTGTAAAATACCGAACTAACCCTTTTAACCAATGAACCTTAATGTAAAGTGTTACGGTTGTTCTTTCTTTCCTTTGTGTAATTCTATGCATCTCTCTTCTGTTCCAGATTCAGACCTTAGCATGAGGACGCTTAGTACTCCCAGTCCGGCCCTCATTCTGAGCCCAAACCCTTCCCGCGTCTCCCCTCAATCAGTCCCAAACGGCCATGAAACCTCCTCCACCTCCTTTCCCATCCCGGGGGAAACTGTGGCTATGGTTCACCCGCCTCCAGGCACTCGCTCACGGCCTTCAAAAGCCCCTCACACCGCCCTCATTGACATCCTCCCCGACCCCGTTTTACTCCACGTCTTGTCTTACCTGTCCACGCCTCACCTGTGCCGCTGCGCTCGAGTGTGTCGCCGCTGGTATAACCTGTCCTGGGACCCACGGCTCTGGAGCTGCATTCGTTTGACCGGAGAGTCGCTGAACGCGGACCGGGCCCTGAAGGTGCTCACCCATCGGTTGTGTCAGGACACTCCCAGCGTGTGTCTGACGCTGGAGACGGTGGTGGCCAGTGGCTGTCGGAGGCTGTCGGACCGCGGGCTGCGTGTGATGGCCCGGTGCTGTCCCGAACTGAGGTGTTTGGAGGTCGCAGGCTGCTATAATGTGTCCAATCACGCGGTGTTTGATGTGGTGTCCAAGTGTCCCAATCTGGAGCATTTAGACGTATCAGGTAAAATGTTGATGCCATTGGGTGAATCTCATGAAACCTGTCAAGAACATGTGATCAAATAAACATTTACTCCAATTTAAAATAGAAAATGAGAAATTACATTTTAAAAGAGAATGAAGGTGGTTTTAGAAACATTTTTACATTGTGACAATTATTTATGATGAAACAACTAAACTTCCACCTTCAGTATTTCAATTTCTTATTACTTTGTAAAAAGTGTTGACACATATTATACAGTATATACACATATTAGAGCCAGACCGATATATCGGCAGGCCGATATTAGACATTTTCCAAACTATCGGTATCGGCAGTTATAATGGCCGATAAATGAATATTTCAACAATAAAATAAAAACGGACGAAACACGCTTGAACCATGTCATGAGTGTTGTGTAGTTTGTCCACCAGAGGGCACTCTACACCATTCCTGTTGGCAACACTCGTTGAGTTGGTCACGATACATACTACATTGCTTGAATAACAATTAAAAGAACATCCCCATCAGTTCTCTAAACTCAAATAAGCAGGACAAAATTTGTGGCCGGCGGAAGTTTCCTCGGCCTGTTGTATTGAAAATGTATGTTTTACAATTTGCAGTATGACGTATCCATTGCTAAATTATGGTTCTATCATAGACTAGCTAACCATTAAGCTAGCTAATGCTATTATCATCAGTCTGTTCTGTTGTGACAATAAAAGAAACTTTTAGAAAGTTTCTTTTTAAAAAAGGCATTATCATATTATTTTGGTTAAAACTCATAAATAACTACAAATAACTAATGTTAGGGAAATCTGTTAATGTTTTGTTGCGCCTTTCTGAAATAAAAAATGTTAAAAATATCGGCCGATATATCGGCATATCAGATTTTAAAACCCAAAAAATATTTCTATCGGTATCGGCCTTCAAAATCCTTTATCGGTCGGGCTCTAATACATATGCATATATATATACACTGAACAAAATTATAAACACAACACTTTGATCTACACTTTAATCAACTCAAAAATCGAAGACTTTTTCTATGTACACAAAAGACCTATTTCTCTCAAATATTGTTCACAAATCTGTCTAAATCGGTGTTAGTGAGCACTTCTCCTTTGCCGAGATCATCCAACCACCTCACAGGAATGCACATCAAGATGCCGACTAGACAGTTTGATTATTGCACAGGTGTGCCTTAAGCCTAGTTCACACTACATGATTTTAAGTCCGATTTAAGCCTGATTTGCAAATCGTTGAGCTCGACGACAGGTCAGGTTGTTATCGCGTGCAAATCGCGGGGGATTGGCTGACGATGAACGCTTGCCAATCCGTTAGTATGAAAGAGCCAACAACGCAGCCGCGTCGCCGAGCCCAGAAAAATATCTAGCATGCTAGATATCATCAACATGATGGTTTTGAGTTGCTTGCCTTGAAATATGATTGAAATCACTTTAAAAAGGAAAATATAGTTCAGTGCAACATGTGCAGCATAAGTCTGTCATATAAGCTACATTAAATTATAATAAGTGCATCATTATAATTGTGACATGGCTTTTAATGGTTAAGTTATATATATATATTTTTTTTTTCTAGCTTACTAATGAGTTCATGGACATTGAATATCTTTCTTGAGGTAAATGTAACGTTAAGTGCCACAGGTGGGCTGTGACACATCCATTATGCGTGAGACCTGGTCAACAAATAAAACATATCAAGTCTTGATTATTTTTAAGAGCTTTTGTGATGGATTAGCCGACATTATGCATCAGAATAGCATGTTTGGTTGTGGATTTATTCAGGGAGTAATTCATAGTGGTGATGTTTTTCTGGGAAGGCTGGGGAAAAGATTATGGGATGTAGGAATCACTGCCAGTCTCTCAGTGTTTCTCTGGGGGAAGGTGAGGTCTGCTCGGTTTGAAAGATGGACTGCTAACCTCAACCAAAGTGTAAGAGTCCGTCTGCTGAGTTCATTGTACGAGTCCCACACAGTTATTCATCATGCAGAGGGCACAGCATGCGTTCTGCTCTCCACAAGTAATACGCCCTTTGTTGCAAAAAGTATCCCAAATTTCTTGTGGTTACATTTACTTCTAAAAGCAGGTAGTAAAACTGCAATAGGAGCAAAAACAGATACTACCTGGTTTTGGTTCCATATGAGGTTTCTGGATTTTATTTCTCTATTATTTTCTCTGGCCTTTATTTCATTCATTCACCTCGATCTGAAAACCTGATGTATAGATTTTAGTAATTCTAAGTAGTTTCACGTTGACATCTTTAATATCAAGAAATGGCCTGTTTTTTATTTCTATATTAGACAGGAAGTTATAATAAGACTAATGTCCCCTTGTCTAAAAAGGTCAGAATAGTTATAGGGACAAAACATAGCTTATATTGCTATAATTTGTACTCATTTACTATAATAACTAACTCACCCTCGCAAATCATTAGCAGCTGCCAAGAAATATCTAGCACATGGCAAATAACTGGCTACATATACCATTTAACACCTTATCAAGAATTTAAGTATTTAATGTATGGCTTTAAAGTCGACATAAAATGGAAATTCTATTCTCTAAAAAATACATATTTTTGAATTATTCATCCATGCTTGTTTCACTTAAAAAAAACAGAGCTTAAAATAGAGAAAAATGTACAACCATAGATTTAAAAAAAAAAAAAAAAATGGCCATAGTGTCCATGACGTCACCCAAAGGTTTCTAAAGAGCATTTTCGAAGCCAAAAGTGGGCGGAGCCGGCCATCGCCATCTTGGCCGCGCGTCATTCCTGGATAAACGAAAATGGCTAAAGAGGCGGATTAGCTGACGTGACGCTAACAGACAGCAGGCAATCCGGCAATCCACCTGTCACTCAAGTGGCCACGCCCTTAAGTATGCACAACTTCAAGGCTTAATATAATTTAAACGGATGAGTTATAAAAAAAAATTCACCCCCTCACCAGACTGATCTCATGAAGTAGCGTGTGTATGCCACGCCAATTCGTATTTCCATTTTTGGCGTGCTATCAAGACGCATAATCGCCTTTCAGCGTGTTTATGAACGCCGTTGACTTAACGATATATAAATATATGACTTACCTCAACCCCGTCCCTAAACCTAACCGTCACTGGGGTTAATGGCATTTATGACTGTTCCCTTACCATCCTAGGGAAAAAAAAGATATGACTTACCTCAACCCCATCCCTAAACTTAACCGTCACTGGGGTTAATGGCATTTATGACTGGAGATTTGACTGCGTGTACAGACACGCGGAATGACGCAGACGTTAATGGCGTAGGCATACACGCGGATACACGCAGATAGCGATAGCTCAAAATGCGTAGAGATAACAAGCCACCTGACTCGAAAGTGGCGTGTATGTTTACGCAAAAGTCATGATGTCATGTTGCCCTCACAGTTGTAATGATGTGCAAAATTAGCTATATAGACCAAAACCACTTTTTGTTCCAGTCTGTAAACAATAAACATATATTTTTTTTCTGCTGTAAAGTTGGGCATATTAACATGCAATTGACTCTCTTTTGGAGCCTGCCTCTAGTACTAGTGATTGTATATTAGCACTCTTTAAATCTGTGATGTAGAGCCCTGCGCGGGACTGTTTTCTCGCAACGTATGAGTTAAGGGGGTCGCACACCGGACGAGAAGCACGGCGCCGCGTTGTGCAGCGCCATGTCTTTAAAATTCGAACACTTTATTCTCTATGAGTGTACACACACCGGCGGCGGCATTCGGCGTCTGTCCGCGGCGCCCAGCTACGGCTCAGGACCTTGTTCAAAACCCTGCCGCGCCACAGAGCGCCTATTTGCATAGTTTTATAATCAAATTACATTTACTTGTCTCAAATCGTCATTAATGTACATGCCTTCAACCTGTGATGTTTTCACACGGGTTAGCGAAACGCTAGCTAAATAAATACTATTGTATTTTGTGACATAGTTGCAACGTTACAACAAAATACCAGACTTAACGCGATAGACACTTTTACTCGATTAATGTTCAAACATCAGATATTATTCAATCAACATAAAAAAATAAATAAATAAATCAAAATAAATCAAATTAAAAACCACACATTGTGCAGCTCTTCTACCACGAGTTGATTCAAAATTGAGCTCACGCGATTAGAATGTGCGCGTCCGGTGTGCGATACCTAGAGTTGTCCTAGACGTGGCATGGCGCGCCCGCCCGCTCCTGTAAAACTCTGAGAATTTAATCCCGCACAATTATAGAGATTGATTTTGTGTCTTCTCCCATCCCGCAGGAAAAAACACGTATTTGTATTGCTATTGTTGAAGAGATTCATGGGGTTGTTTGTTATGTTTCCCTGGCCTGCATGTAGTCTGGCGCACTGATCAGGAAGATGAATAGTAGCCTGGCTAGGCTATTGGGGACATCTAAAACGCGCAGGCTACCGCGCATTTATTTAGACTTCAAGTACTTTGATTTTAGCTATTGAAGTATTCCGTCATAGGCTTTATGATTGGTCCAGGAGTAAAGGTGCAGAAAGCATGTCTGAAAGCAGCTAGCCTCGGAGAACACAGAAAGACAAAACACACATAAATGTCAGACTTGCCCTGCTTAGGTTTTGTGCTGTAAATACCTTGTTTGAGGTTCTTTTCCACATCATTTATTGACATCTCCATCATGTCGCTAGGCTACCTCCCGATCCCGCAGTTTTTTTTTTTAGCCGCCCATTCCCGTCCGCAGCAAAGTTCAAACCGCCCGCTCCCGCGAGATTTGTGTTGGGTCCCGCGGGACTTAATCCCAATGCAGCCCTGTACTGTTATGTGAAAAGCCAGTCTTAAAGGGGAACTTGGCAACTATTTCAACTTTATAAAACGGTTTAGAAATCATTTGGTTGGTTTAATAACCTGTTCCTGTGAAAATTGTGACTTTCCCCAACGTTCCCTGGCGGAAAACCAACCTTGCAACATGGAGAAGAAAGAGACCGAGCTAGAAACACAAACTGCTAAATGGCAATTCGACACACGCCACTCAATGTGCATCAGTGATACACTCAATGTGGATGATGTACTACCCGCCTCGGTAGACATAGCTCCACACGATAAAGTTGTCCGGCTCCGATAATAACAAATGCACATGAGCAGTGGTAGAAAGGGGGAGGAGGTGCCGTAAGTGAGTTTTTTTTTACGACAGTGTTGTGAAATATACGGCTCACCGCTGTAGGGGGAGCTGATGAGAAACATGCGAAAACAAAAGTGAAAATCAGCGAATAAATGACTAGAGTTGCCAAGTTCCCCTTTAACATCCAGATATTTAAAGTTTGCTTGATGAACTTTATAAACCATAATAACGATATTCCCTGCCTTCCCCTCAGGCTGCCCTAAAGTGACGTGCATCAGCCTGACAGAGGAGACATGCCTCCAGCTCACTCCTCTTCACGGACAGCAGATCGGCCTGAGACACCTGGACATGACGGACTGTGTCTCACTGGAGGATGAAGGCTTGAGGACCATCGCATTTCACTGTCCGCATCTCACACACCTTTACCTGCGTCGCTGCAGTCGCATAACAGACGAGTCCCTGAGACAGCTAGCACTGCGCTGCTCCGCTTTACGCGAGCTTAGCCTCAGCGACTGCCATCTGGTGGGAGACTTCGGCTTGCGTGAGGTCGCTCGACTCGAGGGACGCCTACGCTACCTGAGCGTAGCACATTGTATGCGCATAACAGACGTTGGATTGCGTTATGTAGCACGCTACTGTCCGCGGCTACGCTACCTGAATGCGCGGGGCTGCGAGGGGCTAACGGACCAGGGTTTGAGCCATTTAGCTCGCAACTGCCCCCGATTGCGCTCTATCGATGTCGGCCGCTGCCCGCTGGTGTCGGACGCTGGGCTAGAAGCGTTGGCACGCGGTTGTGAAGGCCTACGAAGGCTCAGTCTGAGGGGTTGTGAGAGTTTGACGGGGAGAGGGCTAATGGCGCTAGCGGCGGGATGCCCCGAGCTACAGCTACTAAACGTACAGGAGTGTGATGTGCCACCTGAGGCGCTTCGACTCGTCCGACAGCACTGCAGACGCTGTGTAATCGAGCACACCATACCTGCTTTCTACTGAGGGGACGGGGTGTCGACCTCTGAAAAATAGATGTTTATACTTTCTGCATTCCTACGACTGCCTGAAAAGATGCAACATGGCGGATGTGTCTCAAAACCTTGCGCAGAGGTGCTTAATCCTGCTCTTGGAGGGCCACCGGGCTGAGGTGTGTTTCCCAAAAGCATCATTAGCCAACTATGTTCCCAAGTTTCGTCGTTATCAACAGTTCAACGAGTCGATGTTTCCCGAAACCATCATTCGCAAACAGCGTCGCAGATTTGTGTGGTTAGCCTGTGGTTAGAAGCAGTTTCTTGTTTTCATGACATCTGGACTTAATAGATCCACATCTTGAGCAAAATAAGCAAGCTGACATTCAGTACAATCTATATCTTTTATTTAGAATACAATTGTAAATTACGTCTTTTAGTTTGCTAAGAGATTTAAAGCACCGTTTTTGGAGAGTGCGCATGTGTGAACGTGTACTAGTGCGCAAGAACGAGCCTATGATTGAATCTGGAAATAAAGCAAAACAATATATTCCTCAGATGCATGTCCGCAAGTTATATCAAAACATCTAGCATTAATTCGATCTCAAACAGTTTCGTTAAAATAAGTTTTTACTCCACCACGTGCATGACATCATTAACCAATGTGGTTGAACGACCATTTTGCGACAGTATGGTTTCGGGAAATAGTCGTGATTAGCTAGAAGATTTCTTCAACGATTTATCGTACTATGGTAGTGAAGCAGCGGGTTACGGTGTTGTACGGGAAACACACCCCAGCAGAGTTTAGCTTCAATATTTTGATTGGCTGGTTCAGGAGTGTTTAATTAAAGTTGAGGTTAAAACTTGCTTAACAGTGTTGACCTAGTGAGTCGATTCAATGTCTATACAGCCGTGTTTCACCAACAGGGTACAATGGGTCACCTTAAGAAAAAAATTGCTTTTTATTCCCATTGAGTTGACTTGCTGTCTACTGGAATTCTTGAGCAACTCGTTTCCACCAAAAAAGAACTGGTTTGGAACTGGTGCAACTTGCGAAACCTTCTCAGATCCGGTTTGTTTTACCACTGACTAGAGAGCCCAGCGAACAACGTTGTTACGTCACTGTGTATGCCGCCATACGTCTTGGCTTTCCCATTCCCGTCGTGTTGTTCGTCACAATAACCCCCACTCCCACTGTAAGCAATAAGCATGACGTGGTAAAAGAACGGTTCTAGTCCAGCAAAGAGTTGGTGCCACTTTGCAACCAATTCACCTTTGGCTAAGCCACGCCCTAGAATGCAGATTCATCAATCACAGCGCAGCCAATAATGAGCTCCCACAGAGGTCGGAGACATTTTTCACAGCGCTCCATTGACTTTCAACATAGGCGTCTCATATTTTTGGTCGCGGCAGGCTATTACCGTCGTAGTTGTATCAAAAATATGGTTAAACGTTGTGCCTCGGGCATTTGTAACACAGATACGCGTTTCCCAGAGAGGTTGTCCGTTTTTTCCCTTCCCAAAACCGAAGTCAAATCCTGACAAGTGTCGTCTTTGGATTAAACTGTATGGACGTCCTCAGTCAGCTAAACCCCGCAAAGATCAACAAGCACATCTTTTTTTACTTATAACCTTACTGTGAAGTTATACTAGTTAGACCGTTTTATAGTGTTTTAGGTTATGATTTCGGTTCTCATACCGGTAGTTGATACGCTAGCACATGCTAATAAATACAACGTTATACTCTTGTAGTCAGTTTCCTTTGTAATAGCGATTATAGAAGTGAATAGAGACCTACCCAGCTTTGCATGAACAGTGTTGCTCCCTGATATTGTTAGTCCCAGCCTCCGTCTCGATTAGTAGGAAATGCGGTGGTTCATTTTTTGACTGTGACCGGTAACGTTATGCTTTTGCCTCTATTTGGATGCCTTGTTGTTTCTAGCGTTTCACCTGTATGTCTTGAATATAGCCTTCTAACGCTTATTGCAGCCCCTTTTGCCAACGTCTATTGGACAGGACACTTTATTTGCTGCTTTGTAAAAGTTTGATAACATTTCAGCAGGAAGAGCTGTCACAGCATAAGCCATGTTGATACCAAACCAGAGCCCAGACGAAGTTTGACGGATGTAGCAACAGTAACTATGGGGGGCGGGGCTTAGCCAAAGGTGAATTTTGCTGGCCGAGGAACCGGTTCTTTGGCCATCGAAACACAAAGAACTGGTTTGCTAGTAGGCATCGGCTCCAAACCGGCTCTCAAAATACTTTGGTGGAAAAGGGGCTGAAACCCTAATTAAATACACCTCAAGCAGCTAATAAAGCACTCCAGGATTACTAGGAACTTCAGGGCAAGCGTGCTGGAACAAAACTTGCAGGATGGAGGCCCTCCAAAAGTAGTTTTGACATTAACGGTCTACATCAGATGCCCAATCCTATACCTGGAGATCTACCTTCCTGCAGAGTACAGATCAAACTTGACTGAACCAGCTAATTATGAGCACTTATTGTTGGATCTGAACCCTGCAAGTTGACCTCCAGGAACAGGATTGGGCTCGCCTGGTCTACATAACATCTAAGTGCAACCTTGAAATGGCCTTCATAGGCGACAACATCAATAACAGTTCGCCTATGTGTCGTGAAGATTAGATTAGACTGACAATTTTGACATTCAAAGGCAGTTAATTTTTGAGACACATATGGCGAGTCCTGTTGCTTCTTACAGAGCTGTACCATGTTCTTGTCAATTAAAGAACTACATGATATATAGCCTATCATAATATTTATCACATGAAGGAGATGCATTATTGTCACTGTACAACGGTAAGCTGGTGTTTTCATGAATGATGTTTGTTTGGGTTGATTTATGTTTTGATTTCTACAAAAGCTCTTTAGCTGGTTGTCTATGTCTAGAGTCTGTACATTGTACATGGTTAAATTCAAAACATTACAACTTTAAATTATATATTGGTTGCTATGAAGACTTGTTTGCACCACAGAATAAAAAATAAAAAAGGTAATTGCGAGTTTACATCTTACAATTGTGACTTTTTATCTCAGAATCTCAGAATTAATGTCTGGTGATATAATTGAAAGTCAGGATTGTGACATATAAACTTACAATTGTAATAAAATATCACAATCATCTTTTAAATCGTTTTATTCTGTGGCAGAAACAAGCGTCCATAGGTTGCTTCCACAGAAGAAAGAAACGTGAACTGTCCTTGTAATATTACATAGTCCCAGACTCCTTCAGAAAATCGACATCTGACTTCAAGAGACCATCTTGGTTCAATAAAACTAGGGAAAATACGGGCATTTGCACTTTAAAGGGCATTAACAGAACAATGTCTCAAGATCTTAAAGTCTTTAAGTCTTTTATTTGATAGCATTCGTCAAGAGATTTGTAAAGGTTTCATTTTCTGAAAGCTGCTAAAAACACTCAATAAAGGGCTACTTATTTAAAATGAAATGTTTTCTGTAATTTGTTGAATCTCTGAACAATTGTGATTGTGAATGAACATCACAGTGACAAAGTGAACAGACAGGCCTGTAACACATGCAAATAACAAATCTGGTGTGGATAGTAAGATTATCTAGAAGATAACCACTTCTAGCCAGGACAGTGAAGGCGTCTTATATCACTTCTTTTGAGATATGACCTATATTTGAATGAGATACACCTTTAGGAGATTCAGACTCTTGGATTTTTCCCTCCTCAACAAATCTGAATCATTAGTAAGAAACATCAACAGCTGAGTCACATGTGCATTACCCTAACCATAATCATAATTATTTCAATTGTTAGTGCATGAATCATGACTATACAAACAATGGAGCATGAAATAGCTCAGATGAATTACTCAGCGAGATGGATGGTAAATATGTGGTTGTTGTTGCAGCTGAGTCATTTGAGGCGTGAGCTGAACTGCAATAACTTCATTTTCCTTTGCTTAGATGGGTAAGAAGAAAGAACAAACAAGTGTGTGTGTTTCATTAAAGTCTATTGTAAAGCATAAATGCGATGGCGTGTTGTTGTTTCCAGGGTAGCCTAATAATCTATAAATGATAAACCATCATCTGTAAATGAACAGAACACACGTACCCTTGTCAGTGTGTTGTGGACGTTAAGTTAGCTGTGAGTGGCCATAGTCTAGACTTGAGTATAATGAATGAATGTGGTGTCGATGTGGTAAAACTGTCCACTGTCTCGGGTTGTTTCTGGGAGAAAGGACTCTTTATTTTTCTTTCTCTCTACGAATGCCTTGATTATCAACAAATAGGCCTATATGGACTCTTTATTTTTCTTTCTCTCTACGAATGCCTTGATTATCAACAAATAGGCCTATATGCGTCTGGTATGTATGTATGTATTTTTCACTTAACAATATACGCACTTTATTTAGATATTGGCAATCGCTTTTGTGAGTGTATTTGTAATCTGTTGCTGCCCTCTGTTGGTTAACATCCGTTTCTGCACTTAAAGAGTTCGTGTAGCAGAAAATGAAAACCATACCATAATTCACTCACCCTCGAGCCAGGTGTAGCTATATGACTCTTCTTTCAGCCAAACACAATCGAAGTTATTTAAAAAAAAAATCATCTTCCTCTTTCAAGCTAATGGGAGTGAATAGTACAAATTTCTGAAGCCCCAAACAGCACATCTATCTTTTAAGTAACCCATATGGATACAGGGGGGGTTAATAAAGGACTTCTGAATCGAAACGATGCGTTATTGTAAGAAAAAACTATCCATATTTATAACTTTTTGAACTATCACTGACCTCCTGTAACGGGCGTCCGCGAGTCTAGTTCCGGTGGAAGAGTGACCTCTGACCCGACGCATGATGACGACGATCATCACACGGGAGACGATGTTGAGATCATGTGGACAGTAGTTTTGTTTACTGAGTAGTTTTGTTGCATCTTGTTGCATAGATCATCCTGATTTGCTATTCTATGCAATTTTATAATTTACACAATAAGCACAGTTTGCATACTGCAAAAATAGTATAGTAGGCCCATGGTACACTGTAAAACCTGATGAGTTTGTCCTACTCAAACCAATTCATTATTTTGACCGTTAGAGTTTACAGTGCTGAAGTTATACTGTATTTGAGAATAAACTAACATAATAATAATAATAAACAACATAATAGCAGTGAAGTGATGTTTTAATTGATCATGAATAGACATCAAGATTATGATTCTTGATAGTATTGTTATATATCAGTGACCCTAAATAATGCTAAAAATGCGTTTACCACTTTGAAAGAAAGACAAGATAACAATCATTTAGATTTTGTTTTAATAAATAAATTCAAAATTGCAATATTGAGAATACCAGAAAAAAGGCACTTAAAAACAAGCTACATTGGGTGTTGCGGCAGGTTATCATCCTTCAGCTTGATATTTATTATTTTGTCAAGCATTACAACAGCTTTAAATGACTGGGTCTGCTTATTGTGTCCAAATAAAATAAGTACAAATACAGGGTTGTTGTACCTTTGACCATATATGAACTTTAGAAAAAAAAAAACTTCATTTTCACCACATAATGTATTTTATAGCAAAGAGCTTATCTCTGATTTCAAATGTGTGAATTACAACTTCCATTTTCTATTTTAAATATACTCTCTGAAAACATTTAAAATTTCATTTGTAGGTACCAATAATTATGCTCATTTCTAATGAGCGTTTAAGGATATTTGGCTTTCTACACCGATTGACTGCAAACTACAGGATTTCACCTGAATACACTGATACTCGTCAAGAGCCACATAATAGTTCAACATATAATCCTTCATAACACACGACATAAACATTTGCAGCTGACCACAAAACACATGCCATAATGAGTCTCTAAGAGCAAGAATACATGGGAAATAACTGTGTTTTTTACTTTCTAAAAACAAAGGCATGAAATGCATGACAGTAAATGAATATGCATAGATTATCAGCATATGAAACCAAACTTTTATCAACCCCCCAAAATAAAATCACATATACACTGGTCACATAGTTTTCTTATGCCAACATATGACTGACAGCATCAGCAGTTTGAATGCAGATAGAATATAAACCAAAAAATCATGTTATTTTGCAATCTTTGCAAATTTAAAGTGAAACCCTTAAACACTTTATGCAAAGGCACAAAGATTTGTTCTGTCCGAAAAGAGAGGATGTGTGAATGTACGCAGGGCTAAAAAGAAGAAATACTGTTGTAAATAAAAAGACTATACAACCTGTACACGTTTGCAAGGGACGAGAGGCAGCCAG